TGATGAAATCTTGTAGCCAATCAACCAAATCCCTACAAACCAACACTTAAATCTCAGTGATGTTTGATATTTATTCTTCTTTTTCCTTCTCATCCACTAACATCAAAGTGTGTGCTCATCTACGAAGACTTGAAACAGCTGGTACTTTTTCGCTGATGAGGTGTGACGATCCAAAATATAAATATTTGTTGTTGGAGTGGGTTTTCTTCCTTAGTGTAGACATACTAATGTCCACTTTCCCTCCGCTTAACTAGCCAGGAAGTCTAGAAATGGTAGTTAACCGACATCTGATTCTTCTTCTGAATTACATTAACTAACTAACTAACGAACTAACTTTCTGTCTCACTACACAGTTTATTCATATTCACTTTTTGCTCCAATTCATTGGACATCTTGAATACAATAAGATATAATTGATATTCTGTAGTTTCATTTCAGCCCCACAATATATATTATCCAATAAATAATCTTATTTGTACGGTTACACAATCCAGAAAAGGTATGAATTTCTCATTATTAATCCTTTTTCTGTATGAATTTTTCCCAACACTTACTTTCACTTCATAAGAGAGAATTAGCTTTTTGCCTGTCATTTCATATTTTCGACATAGTGTTAATTTAATAAACTTACATTCTGTCTGTCTTCCTGCATTTTCCATCATTCTTCTCAGGATGTTTGATATTTGTTTTGGAAAATTTCTATATGCTTATTGATTTTACACTCTAATTTTTTATATTCTTCTCTTATAGTTCTGTTTTAAAATAATTAGGTTTTGTGACAGAATTCTTCACGTGTCTACTAAAGAATTCTCATGAGACTGCGAAGTAGATTTTAAGTGTCAAATAATGAATATGGGTGAATGCCTGGGAGTTGATGATCTTTGTTTTTGAGGCAACTGTCTTTAAGATTCTGTATGAAGATACCAGATAACTGGAAATTACTACACTTCTTGTGCGATTTCTAATCTGTGAATAAGGTGGGAAACTATCGTCTAAGGAAAATGTCTAATGAATTACTTGGTTGCAGCGATCTGGATCGATTTGGGAAAGATAAAACTGTTCGATTTCTCATTAGTTGATATAACATACAGCTGTGGTGTTTGTTGCCAATGCTTTTCAACTTGAATGAATTAATAACTCTTGTCATTATTTTTCCCGTGGGTTCTGAGTAGAACACAGGGTTTCATCTGGGTTCACCTGGAGTCCTTGCTTTTGCTGCCTGCCTATTCCACCAGTTTGTTGGTTTCCGCCTACAAGTCTTTGAGTTTGTTTGACATTAAACATAAAGCATCCACATTTGAACTCCAGGTATTCTAGAGTCTTCTCGTCGGTGGTCTAAAGTATTACTGCTTTCTCATCGCCTACACTTTGAGGCATAATTCAGTCCATCACAATTAGGAATACCATCGGTGATAATAGGCAGCCAGCCTTATCTTACTACTGTATTCACTTCAAACGCCTCACTCAGTTTTCCGTTGTAGATCACCTGACACGTAACAGAAAATTGGCATACAGCCGGCTGTTGAATGTGGTTGATAAAGACTTGAGTACTGAACGCTGTAGTGTTGAAGTAGTTTCCAAATTACTCCTCAGTCAAAACTGTCTGTCAAAGGTCTTCTCGAAGTCAATGAATTTGTCGAGATGGAGTGAGGTTTTACTGCGTGGTGACGATGTGTGGATTTTCAATTTCATCAGCGCATGATTTGCCTTTCCTGAACTCAGCTTGTTCTGGTTGGTGAAGAGTGTAGTTCTGCATTCAGTGCATCCTTTACTCTCTCCAGGATGATGACACTTCGTATTTTACTTGGCGTGGACAAAAGCATTATTGGACGTTAGTATTTTTGCGAAGTTGTAATTAGTCCTTCTTCGGTAGCTTGAATAGGTAGCAAGTCTTTCTTCCATTCGGTAGGCATCAATCCTTGTTTCCAAACCTTTTCAACAATGAAGTGAACACATCTATTAGTTCTAATGTGAACGAGAGTTCTTAAATCTTCATTTAATTCTTTTCAACAAGGACCCTGACTATCTTAATAGTCAGAGCAAGAAGTGGAATCGGGAGCTACATATATCTGCTTCTATTGTGAGTGGTATTTATGACTCTTATCGATTCGAATACATTGTTAAGAGGACCGGTCTTCTGTGCAACGACCGTAAGTCGTTATTTTTTAAAATTCTTATCTTGAATTTTCCGTTGACTGGACTGAAACACTCAGTCACTGTGGACATGTTCGTTCTTAGTAGGCAAGCTCTGACGGTGCCTTTAGTCTATTACAATGATACCTGGCCAACCGAAACGTTCCTGGTAATCTCCAAAGCTAGTCAACATCAGCTGAATAACACAACATGTTAACCTTAGGACAGCTTGAAAGCACTTGTGCTAGAATTCGTATTGTCAGTAGAAATCAAGTCTTTTAGACCGACTAAATCGGTCAATGATAAATTCAAAATGTTCATTTCAACAAATAAAACTTTCAAGCAGTTTAAAGTCTATTCACGATTAGTCTGTCTACATTTAAATCTTCTATGCCTGAAGCAAAAGATGACTTTAAGCGACTTGCTAATAGAATACGCTTTATAGCAGTGAATTATTATTATTGTTGTATCCTTTAGTTCCTAGTGGAGCAAAGGGCTTCAGCTGCCATAGCAATGAAACTGGCAATAAATTACTCTGAAAACGAATTTGAAGTTATCTGAATCTATGGATGATTAACTGGAGTTCAGTAGATATTGAAACACTCACTATTAAGCATAACGATTTTTTTAATTATGTCGTCAGAACGAGTACAGTGTACTTCAAACGACAGCTGAAGCAAGTCGATCTCCTGTGGTGTTAGATACACACATCGTTCTCCTTGTGTTCTCTCACATCACACTAACATTGATTTACTATTTCAGAAAATTTACAACTCAAAGAATACATTTAGTTAATGGCGAAGAACACAGTTCAAACTCCATTTTCACCATTAGGTTTCCTATGAAAAATGGAAATGCTGTCATCTGTTTAGTGCCATGAATAGCATCTAAACAACAGGCAGAAATCTAGAGCTAATATTATGCAACATCAGCATACATCTTCACAACTGTTTAGCGATTGAAACGTTCACCCCCACCCACCCCAAAAGTATAGTGGAGGTATGTGGGTGACACATTCACTGCACTTAGAACACAAGATATAGATAGATTTTTCGAATACATCAACTCGAAGGCAGAGGTATTCAATTCACTTATGAATTGGAAAGTCAGGAAGGGGAACTTCCAATGTTAGATTGCAACGTAAAAAGGAAAAAAAATGGGAAGTTAAACACTAGTGTGGTTTACAGGAAACCCACACATTCAAACAGATATTTGGACTTCCGATCATCCCATCCTATGTCAGTGAAAATAGGATTAGTGAAATGTTTAAGTAACAGAGCACAAAAACTAAGTAGTACCAAGGAAAATCTGAGACAGGAAGTGACACACATAAAAGAAGCCTTGAAACTTAATAATTACCCGGACAAATTAGTCAAGAAATATGTAAAAATCAAATAAATAATAATAGCGACAGTGATAATAATAATAATGGTAATAATAATGGTAATAATAATAGTGATAATAAAAATATTAATGACGACACCAACAATAAGGAATGTAAATCATCAACAGTAATTCCATACAATGAAGGAACCTCGGACATCACCTTACGCAGAATACTTAACAAGGCAGGAATAAAAATGGCATTCATACCCACAAACTCAATTAGAACAAGCTTTGTCGGTTAAAGGGTCAATCCTGTGGAGCCTTTAAAACAAAACAATTTAGTTTATCTAATACACTGCCTGCCTGCAATGATTGTCGGTCAAATACATAGGTCAAAGTGGTAGAACAGGGCAGTCAGTCAAACTATCCGGACATAAAAACTTAGCAAAATCTAGATTGGTTGACCCAAATAGTATAAGAAATCTCGAGAATAGTTCAGCTATACCACTCACTACATGTAATTACACACAACCATGCAATAGGATGGGATGAGAGTTTTGAAATCTAATGTCACTGGGTGATAGGATAGAGAGATTGATAACGGAAGCTTTGTTTATCGAATCAACTGCAAATACATGTAATAGAAGCGATTCAACACCTGTCCCAGATACATGGAAAATTCTACTGCCCATACGACAAATAGGAGACGAGAAAAACTATAAAATCAAGTTTCAAAGTCGTGTGATCAAAGTTGATATGATTATGAACAATAAATTTTGTTCGAAAATGTGTCATCCAGTAAATAAGAATACTGTTTCAGTGACTGTGTGATACATCTAATAAACAAACTAATATGGAATTACTTACTATCACCACAGTGTCCAAGTTTTACTCATATAGTAACTGAAGTATTTTGGGTTGCCAAAAGGGAGACCGTAGTGAAATATCACCTTGAAAATAGAGATGTGGACAAAACTAAAGATTTTTCCTGCAAGCTTTGTTGTTTCAGGAACAGTGGTATTTTATGTTACAGGTTAGAGTTACTAGCCTCACATCAAAACTTTCCTCCTTGCCACACCTGAATGCGTTGGCCATGAATCAACCTTGAGCCACTTGCACAATCTTGTGAGTGTTCTATGACTAAAAAACTCGTTCAGTGATGAATGCGTGTCGTCTAGTCTTTAGAACAGATGTCTGATAAGATCCCAGTATATATATATATATATATACATTAATATTCAAGTATTGGTTTGTAGGGATTTGATTGGTTGGTTACAGGATTCATCATGAGCTGACATTGGTTAGAGAACCAGAAGGTCCTGAGTTCGAACACCCTGTAGTGAGTGCATACTGATGAAGAGTCCCAAACTAGGCTGACAAAACAGCTGGCTGTCTAGTACTCCCAGTGGCTGGTTTTCCAATGGTTCCCTAATCAATGTCAGCTGATGATGAAATCCTGTATACATTACTGTTTAATATGTGTACAGTCAAAATAGTGGTGATTATAGCGTAGAATAAACAAAGAGTGGGGGGGTGCTTACCCAAAGCAAAGTAGAAACAAGCCATTTGTCCAAAAGACGGTTTATTACTGATCCGTTTCAGAATTACCTAAGATAATGGACAGTTGTAAAAACAAAAAATTAACAGAAATAAACTCAGTCAAGTTAAAATAAACAAAATAAGAAAAGTAACTCACTCGTCCTTCTCCTACGCATTTCTGATTTCTAATTTATTCAATTACAAAATAAACAAAACACGTCAATATCCTTGAAGTGAGTATTTATCATTATTTATATCACCTATTTAAATTTTTTTTGATTTACAGCTTGATTCCACGCTGTAGTTTCGGTACAAGTATGGAATTTTCAGCATGGATATCGGTAGCCCAAATTTTGCAAGCCAACCATAGATATCAGGTGTGCGTCGGTGCGGGCTCGAACCCCGGACCATGTGCATGGTTGGCGAGAGTCCTAACCACTGTGCCACCGACGCACAACTAAATAGTTATAAGTTAGAGGTAGATGAAATCAAAGCATGAAATCTAAATAAGTTCACTATACACCTACTGGATAGTTTATTTTCTTAAAACAACTTAAGTATTCGATGGAGGATTTCATCATGAGCTGACATAAGTTAGAGAGCTACTGGAAAACGAGCACTAGAATACTGGACAGTCAACTGCTTCGTCCTAATTTGGGACACTTTATCGATATATGGGGTTCTAACCAAGAGCCTTCTGGTTACAAGGCTAGTGAGCTCGTAGACCGTCCCGCCAATGAGCTACAAACAAATGGCCCATGAATTCTAACTTCTGCTAATTCACGACATAACGAGACCATTTCACAATATCTTCTTCGATGAGTTACTGTATCATCTTCAATCTGCTGTACCTTACCGGTCACGGCTTCCCACTAGAACCCCAAATCAACTGCCTGAATAGGGCGAGTCGCTAGTGAACATCAGACGAATTTTCGAGTATTAGTTTTGTAAGGATTTAGTTCAATTGGATGGAAGATACCTTCAGGGGCTGACATCAGTTAGGGAACCACTGGGAAATCTAAAAGTACTGTACAGTCGTTTCGTCCTAGTTTGGGGCCGCTTAAAAGTGGTTCTCTAACTGATGTCAGCTCATGATGAAATCGTTCATCCAATCAAACGAAATCCCTGCAATACAAATATTTGAAAATTAATCTGATGCACACTAGCGACTTCCCCTATTCAGGCGGTGAACTGGGGTTCTGTTTGAAACCCGTGACTAGTAGGGTACAGCAGGTTGAAGATGAGGCGAAAACTCATCGAAAAAGACATTGCGAAATGGTCACACTATGTCGTGAACTAGCAAAAGTTAGAATTTATAGGCTGGTCATTGGATTGGGACGCAATGGCTTAAGGGTCAATGAGCTCACCTTGTAACCAGAAAGTCCTTGGTTCGAACCCTGTCGGTTGGCACGTACTGATGAAGACTCTCGAAGTAGAACGAAACAGCTGGCTGTCAAGTACTCCTCAATGGTTTTCCAGTGGTTCTTTAACTGATGCTGATGTCAGCTGATGATAAAATCCTTCATCCAATCAAACGAAATCCCCACAAAATCAATACTGGAAAACGCAAGTAATTATTAACCAAATCTCTTAAACCCTTTCAGAGTCTAGGCCCTGATGGCATACCTGCCATTGTTTTAAAGAAATGTGCTGATATTTTAAGTAACCCACTTACAAACATTTTCAATACTTCTTTTTCTAATAATGTTGTACCTTCTCAGTGGAAAGATATTAAAATCATCCCTGTATCAAAGTCTGGTTGTGCAAATAGTGTTAAGTTTAGACCTATTGCTATTACCTCTTCTTTTTTGAAACTAATGGATACATTATTGTTACTAAAACTTGTTCCCTCCCTAAGCTTCTCAAGTTATCCAAAGCAGTTTGCCTACAAACAGGGTAGAAGTACATTAGACACTGCTACTGTGTTTCATCACAACATTGTATCCTCCTTAGACAAAGGGGCCAAGTATGTCCGTTGTACGTTCCTTGATTAGACATCTACTTTCGACTCTGTACCTAGAGGCCTTTTGCTTAACAAGCTTAGCCTTACACAAACTGAGTCCTGGGCTATCCAATGACTGCACTCTTACTTCTCTAATAGGATTCAGTACACGGCATATAATGGTGTAGCTTCCTCTCCTTTGCTTAATGAAGCTGGAGTTTCTCAGGGTGCTGTTCTCTCGCAGTTTCTCTTTTCCTTCTTGTTACATGACTTGCCTCTTTCAGACGAAATCAACTTCGTCAAATATGCAGATGACCTGACTGTTTCACCTCTCAATAAGTTTCAGTCAGTCTGTTTCAAATTAAATAGCTTCCTATCGGACATCAGTCAGTGGTCTAAACTAAATGGCCTCATGCTGAATCACTCAGAATGCCAGACTATTTACTTCCCCTTTAGGCGTAAACAGGAATCTCAGACTAACTGGAATCACTCAACCTCTGCTTTCGCAATTTGTCAACTCTCGTATCTTACCTATTCTACTTTACTGCTCCCCATTAGTCTTTCCTGGGCTACTGAAAAGAGACTGACTATACCATCCTGAGAAGAAAGTTGAAGGTAGTTAGTAATACTAGTGGTGAAAACTAAGTCAGCTCGTCACTACATTAGTGGATAAGCATCTGAATACATGCCAAAAATGGTCTAAAACCATACTCTCCGACCCCTCAACACCCCCTCTATTCCCAAGCCTCTCCTTGTATCTCATCAGGTAGAAACAGAAATCAGTACAAAATAATATATGCACGTACAACCAAGTATAGGAACTGAACGATACCATATTTGGCCAGCCCGTGTTCTAAGTGACAGAGACAATGTTAAGCGCGAAACCTATGACTTGCTTTGTTGTTAATAACATAATTTTGGCCCTTGTTATTTCCCCCTTACACTCTCTTATTTGTACTCTATAGTGAACAACCTTCTTAAACATAATTAGCTACTTAAAATTATTATCATTGGCTTACTTTTTTATTCTTTATTCTATTCCTTCTTTTGTACATCTACTGGTTCCGACTATATTATCACTATGAGTATTACAAAATTGTCCTGTCATTAACCATCATGTAATATTAGTTTTGTGGTTGTTTTTTTTAATCGGCAATATTAAACTGACAATCTTGTTGGTGAACGCCGTTATCACTATCCTAATAAATTTTGTATTATGCATGAGTACTCTTACCACCACTACAAACACCGCATTAGACCTGACAATAAAAAAAAACTTAAATGTTTATTTTACGATTGTCTAGTGTAGTTCAATCAAATTAACTGATCATCTTGGCTATAAACATTCTTAAGAATATCTCATAACCTCTTGTATGATTATAGCTGTTACTGTTCACCATGCATACACATATCATAGCTTCCACTACGCATTACTGAAATATTATTTATTATTGGTGTTTATCTCCCTTTCTACTTGGTATTTTTTTGCATTTTTTTGCTTTTTTTGTGTTTCTTTTTGGTTTTTGTTGTCGTTTTTTACATTTATTTTTCTAATACTTTTTTAAAATATGTGATGAAATTAGATGCAATATTATAGATATGTGCTGAAAATTCCATACTGAACCACTAGTACTGTTTCTGGCATAAAAGCGAAATTATTATTATTATTATTATTAAACAATCAATAATTCATTGGAGAATGTTGCTAAAAACGACATGATCAAATTACCAAGTGAGTGGAAAACAGTTTGCCCGCTGTACTGTGCAAGTCATCCCTCTTAAGTGACTTACGCGGACTGTAGATATGTAAACCTGCCCTAAAGTTTGGTCTTGCCGCAACTATGATGGCTACTTCAAAACGCTGTCATTACCACATGTCTAGTAAATCTTCTAAAATCAATGTGAAGTGGGATCCAGATTTTCAATTTCTGACGACAAAGGTTTACTTCTATGTGATTCAGACAGTTTCCAAGAGCTTCAAGAATGGTATTTTCAACAGAATGCTGTTAACTTTTATCATTCTGTCTGTGATGAAAATAAAACGGTCAGCTAGAAAGGAAAAGCGACAGGGAACTGTGGAAGAGAACGAAGCGATAGCCTATCACCTAACAAATATACAGGAAGAAATGACATCACAAGCTCTAATTGGAAACAACGAATTGGGTACTGGTCAGAAGGTGATATTGAGGAGATCGTGTGAAGAAGAGATGAGAGCTAGTAGTAGTTGTTCGGGCTATATAGCCGGCTGTCTCCACAGGAGCAACTAAATTTATAGATACACATGGAAGTGGCACAACTAGGTAACTTATCTTTCACTTGAGCAATCAAAATTGGCCGGCTGGAAAATGACAAACAGAGGGTGGCGGCAGTATAAGTCCGTTTTATCTCTCTCGATAATCTCTGATGTAAGACTTCACTAACCACGTCCCCATTAAATTGCAGTTTGATGAACAGTTGTTTCTTTTTAACTGTTGTCGGTTTCTTTTTATTGTACTTAGCATTCATGTGTCTCCTGACAAATCTACTAGGCTAACCCATTTGGACTAACGTACTTTGGATGTATCCTAGCTCATTCTCTAGAGAGTCATCTGTACAGATGCGTCTTGCTCTATTCGTCAGGCATCTGACCAAATTGATTTTGTATCGGATTGGTACATAACTGAGGAAATGTGTATATTGTCCTACAGATGTAGGTTTTCTATAGACATCTCTCTCTAGACAGCTTAACAAACTCATTAATGAGCATCTTCCTTCATGGTTCGGAAAAGGTCAAATAAAATCCATACGAAGTTCTATTTTGGCTCATTTGATTGATAGTGGTCACCAAGTGGACAAAAATAGTGCTTTCAAAGTTATTTACCGCATTCCATCAAGCCCAGTGCTTAGATGACCATGATCTGGCTAGCTGGAGAACACTGTTTGTTTTTGAAGTGAGTGGTGTAGAATAACTCATCTCAGCCAGTCAGTAGTATTTAGTTCCAAAATTTTCTTCACAACCTACATTACTAGATGACTTTCATAGAAGTTTCCATGACTTTTCAGAACACTGTATTACTATTTTTGATTGAACACTAGCCAGTAACCAGTGTAATCTGACTGCTCCTATCTATGATGCAGGTTGAATTCT